ACACAATAAAGTATCACCAAATGTGAGGAAATTAGTACTGTAAGAGAGAGGAAATAGATACAAATTAAATATATATATCTTAGAAAAATATATTTAAATGTGTGTATTAAAGTTTAAGGACAACACTTTTTTTTTTTTTTTTGAGGCGGAGTTTCGCTCTGTCTCCCAGGCTGGAGTGCAGTGGCCGAATCTCAGCTCACTGCAAGCTCCGCCTCCCGGGTTCACGCCATTCTCCGGCCTCAGCCTCCCGAGTAGCTGGGACTACAGGCGCCGCCACCTCGCCCGGCTAGTTTTTTTTGTATTTTTTAGTAGAGACGGGGTTTCACCATGTTAGCCAGGATGGTCTCGATCTCCTGACCTCGTGATCCGCCCGTCTCGGCCTCCCAAAGTGCTGGGATTACAGGCTTGAGCCACCGCGCCCGGCCAGGACAACACTTGAATAATATAAACATAAATATAATGTCCAAGCCTCAAGGTAAATGAAAAATTTCATTAAAAACATGAAACTAAGTAAATACTTTGAAAGGGGAATATGAAGCAAATTGAAATCAACATAAGAAAACACAGAAAAGTTGAAAAGACTATGTCTCAGTCTATTAATATCAGAATAATTTAATATTAAATTGTTAATAAAATATAGAGGCACCTATATAGGTAAATTAAAATTATACTATTATTTTTATAGCACATATAAAGCAAGTGTGGTGATATTAATTTTAGGCAAAAAATTTCAAGGTAAAATCATTTATATAAACTATTTCAAATTAAATATTTTAAATCCACAAATAAGACGGGAATCATAAATCTTCATCCACATTACATCATCGCTTTGAAATAAATATAGCAAAGGCTAATAGAAATATAACATGAGAAATTAGAAAACAATAATCATTGGGAAATTTAATGCACCATCCTCAGAAAACAACAAATCAAGTAATGAGGAAAAATACAGAGAAACTGAATAACTCATTTATAATATTAAACATAGAGATACCAATAATTTTGTCCTCTTAGAGTCTACAGATTTGTTTTAAACAAACGTGAGTGACCAAAAGTGACCATGTGTTAGGCCATAAGTACCTCTCTACCAATTTCAAAAAGCCAGCGTCATATAGACTATACTTACTGATTACAATTAAATGTAAGTATAAAATAACATCATAAAAACAGTCAATAGAAATCAATATATTTGAAAATTAAGGGTCAGATAAACAATTCCACAACATATGTAGTTACACACATGCACATGTACTTCTAAATACCTCTGGTTGAAGGAGAAACAAAAAATATCTTAAGTAATAGAAATAAATAATAATAGGATAATTATTTCAGAAAAGGGGAAATATGGCCAAAGCAGTACCTGAAGATTCTTACCTAGCACTAAATGCTACTATTGGAAAATGAGAACAAATTAAATCAACTAAAGTTTCAACTAGACAATGTAGAAAATAGGTTTAAAAAACAATCTTAAAAAGTAGAGGAAATTAATAAATAGAATACAGAAAAATCAGTAGAGCTGATTAAAATAATTGAAGATGGTTTCTTGAAAATGACCAATAAAATAATCAATCCTGGAACAATATTAGAGATATAAAGAGTATTATTTTAATAAATCCTTAAAAACTGTGGATACAAAAGAAATGTGAAAAACTTAGAAATCATTCAAAGAACACCATATGCATCTTCAAAACAACAAAAGAAATGATTGTATGAAAAATGACATATACTAAAATTGTCCCCAAAGTTGGTTTGACTTGGAATTAAAATCTGACTGGACCACAAAGTGACCTTGAGTAAGTTACTGCACTGCTACAAATTTGCAGTTTTAATTAGGTAGAGATAATAATAGGGCCTCACTATATTAGTTTTCCATTGCTGCCATAACAAATAGCCACATGTAGCATATTAAAACAACACAGATTGATTTTCCACAGTTTTGCAAGTCAGAAATTCATGTGGGCTTGGTTGGTTCCTCTGCTTTGGGTCTCGGAAAGCCAAATTCGAGGCAGCAGTGACCCGTACTGTTATCTGAAGACTGTGGGCAAGAATCTATTTGTAAGTTCCTTCAGGTCATTGAGAGAATTCAGTTTCTTGTGGTTGTATGACTGAGGTTCTCGCTTCCTTTTTTACTATCAGCCTGGAGTTTCTCTCAGATCCTTAATACCAACTGTATTCCTTGTCACCTTGCCCCTCCACCCTCAAATCCAGCAAAAATGTATTGAGTCCTTCTTATACTTAGGATCCCTCTGACCTCTCCTTCTGACATAACCCATTCCAGCCAGTGAAAGTTCTCTGCTTTTAAGGGCTAATGTTGCTTACAGTGGGCTCACCTGCATAATCCATGGTACTCTCCCTATTTGAAGGTCTCTAACTTTAATTATATTTTCAAAACTCCTTTGGTCATGTAACGTATCATACTGACAGGTTCTGGAGGATAGTGTGAGGACATTTTGTTGGAGGGTATTGTGCCTACCATATTACCTCGTAAGATTTTTGCAAGAGTTCAATGAGATAATAAGTCAAATGCTTAATGCCTAATTCAGTGCAGGAAATTTATTTCTGTATACTCTTCTGTTTGTTTGCTTGTTTGTGCAGTTTTTGAGTCTGTGTTTTGTACTATAATATTGCTTCTATTATAATGCATCTATCTTATCAGACCAATTTTTCTGGTAATGTACTCTTTCTTTTGCATTTATCACACCTATCCACATCAGATTCCCCTCTTTTATACTCAGACTAAAAGTATCTGTGACCATTTGACACCTAAAGTCTCTATTTCTTTGATGCATTATGTCTGAAGATGTTCACTGTTCCATTATGATAGTAAGAAATTGGAAACAATTGCAAGATATCTAAAAATATCAGAATGGCTAAATAACTGACATACGATGTGCCATTTGCAGGCCTTAAAATTAGGCTCACAAAGACAGTAATGACATGAGAAATAATTTAATACAATGTCGTCTGAAAAACTACAACATTACATATAAATATGGTAGAAGGTTTAAGAATGATGTGTGTATGTGTATGTGTGTGCATGTGTATCAGAAACAGTATATGCATAAAGAGAAACCTGAACAGAAATGTTTAAAATCAGTGAGTGGTGATTATCCTTGCATAAGGATTAGTGATTATATTTCTTTCTTTTTTTTGAGATGGAGTCTCGCTCTGTCACCCAGGCTGGAGTACAGTGGCACAATCTTGGCTCACTGCAACCTCTGCCTCCCGGGTTAGAGCAATTCTCCTGCCTCAGCCTCCTGAGTAGCTGAGATTACAGGCATGCGCCACCACACTCAAGTAATTTTTGTATTTGCAGTAGAGATGGGGTTTCACCATATTGGCCAGGCTGGTCTTGAACTCCTGACCTCGTGATCCACCCGCCTTGGTTTCCCAAAGTGCTAGGATTACAGGTGTGAGCCAGATATTTCTTTAGAGTTGCATTGCAGTTTTAAACTCATTTACAAAGAATATATATTATCATATCCCAAAAAACAGTTGTTGTGTGCAACAACACAGATGACTCTAAAAAGCATTATGTCAAGCAAAGGACACCTTTCATTTACAAAAAGCTACACATTGCAAGATTTCATTGATATGACACTCTGGAAAAAGTAAACTTACAGGAATGCAGACCAGTAACTGCTGAGGACTGGCTATAGGAAGAGAGGATTGACTCTGAAGGGATATGAAGGAACATTTTGGTGTGACAGAAATTATCTAAAAGTAGATTGCACATTTTTTTTTATTATACTTTAAGTTCTAGGGTACATGTGCACAACGTGCAGGTTTGTTACATATGTATACCTGTGCCATGTTGGCGTGCTGCACCCACCAACTTGTCAGCACCCATCAACTCATCATTTACATCAGGTATAACTCCCAATGCCATTCCTCCCCCCTCCCCCTCCCCATAATAGGCCCCAGTGTGTTATGTTCCCCCTCCAGAGTCCAAGTGATCTCATTGTTCAATTCCCACCCATGAGTGAGAACATGCGGTGTTTGGTTTTCTGTTCCTGCGATAGTCTGCTGAGAATGATGGTTTCCAGCTGCATCCATGTCCCTACAAAGGACACGAACTCATCCGTTTTTATGGCTGCATAGTATTCCATGGTGTATATGTGCCATATTTTCTTAATCCAATCTGTCACTGATGGACATTTGGGTTGATTCCAAGTCTTTGCTATAGTGAATAGTGCCGCAATAAACATATGTGTGCATGTGTCTTTATAGCAGCATGATTTATAATCCTTTGGGTATATACCCAGTAATGGGATGGTTGGGTCCTATGGTATTTCTAGTTCTAGATCTTGAGGAATCACCATACTGTTTTCCACAATGGTTGAACCAGTTTACAATCCCACCAACAGTGTAAAAGTGTTCCTATTTCTCCACATCCTCTCCAGCACCTGTTGTTTCCTGACTTTTTAATGATTGCCATTCTAACTGGTGTGAGATGGTATCTCATTGTGGTTTTGATTTGCATTTCTCTGATGGCCAGTGATGATGAGCATTTTTCATGTGCCTGTTGGCTGTATGCATGTCTTCTTTTGAGAAATGTCTGTTCATATCCTTTGTCCACTTTTTGATGGGGTTGTTTGTTTTTTTCTCATAAATTTGTTTGAGTTCTTTGTAGGTTCTGGATATTAGCCCTTTGTCAGATGAGTAGATTGCACATTTTTTAAAGCTCATAAAATTGTACAGCTTAAAAGGGTGAATTTCATTTGATGTAAATTATACTTCAATAAACCCAACTTTTAAAAATATCATTTTGCTTTGTTTGAATGGTCCAAACGTAGCATGCTTAAATGCCAAAAGAATATAACATCTCAATTTACAGCTTAAAAGTAATTATCTGTTTAACTGGTTCTTCAAGGTTGCAAAACTATTTTAGAATTCTTCCCATTAATAAACTTGGCTAAAACCAACCAACCAATCAACGAACCATATCAATTAGCCATACAACCAGCAGAAGCAACAGTGGCTTAGAAGAAAAATGTTACCTCTGGTGTCTTTAAACCCTTTGTTTTTGAATCATGTCGTTTATCTGTTGTTGGTGTTTGCTTCCAGCTCTTCGTTGCCTTCTTATCACATCACAACCTCCATTCTCTTCCCTCCTTTTTTGTTTCTTTAAAAGAACATTTTTGTATTATTATTATACTTTAAGTTCTAGGGTACATGTTCACAATGTGCAGGTTTGTTACATAAAGAACATTTTAAACATCATTCAGTAAGTTATCTATTGCATGTGACTTTTTGCCACACTGCAGTTTCTGGGCTCTTTAATAGAAAGCTATGGTATTAATATAACCTATTCGAAGAATATATGTTTGGATTCCTCAGAGTAGTTTCACCTGTCAACATTTTATACACCTGCATAAGCAATAAACCTACAAGGAGAGTAACTCAGAATGATCTCATTAGAGTTTTTATAACGTTGAATTAGGAACACTCACTTCACTAACAAGCAGACAAAGGTTGTCTTCAGTGGCAGCCCTATTGCTTGTCACGACTGTAATTCCAATGAATGTATCCAATCTCTCCTCACTGCTTGCAGGGATCTTCTGTCTTAGATGTCTGACAACTTGTATGGTATTCAATTTCTCACACTCTCGATATAGCAGTGTTTGTCATTCACTGGTAGACTGGAAAGCACCCAAAGGATGATATCCTAATAAAGGAAAGTGAAAAATGGAAGTGTCCTCAACTTATCTATACAACAATCTAGAGCACTGTGCAAAGGGTAACCTGCTCATATGCTTCTAATATGATTTCTTAATAAAATGGTAGAGGAAGAGATAAATAACCTTCATATTTCATAACAAATTAAAACTCTAACCTAATGCTACCATTCATGATCTAACTTCTTCATTTACCAATACTCTTTGAAAAAATGAAAACATTAGGTATATTTCTAATGTCTTAAATTTGTTTTGATGATGAATGTCATATTTTGGCCTAAAATATTTTTAATCATATTTTTAAATTATTACTTTTGAATCATAAAACTAGATTTTAATGCCTGGCTGAGAATGTAAAGTTTTAAGAGTGTTTAACAAAGCCAGATTCTTTGTCTCAAGTAAGGATGAATGTATCCATTTGTATTCCCCTGCGCACAATTCACTGAACTTCATTTGAAAATGTCAAGGATAAATATTCTTCAAATGCTTCCATTAAACAGACGATAACCATAGTAACAGTGTATGGTTTGATTTTACCTATATTTCTGAGCTTCTCTCTTAAAAATAAAATGGTAATCAAAATGAGATTGCAAATGAGAACACTTATATACTTTTTACACACTGTTCATATACGGATATTAAAAACAAAGATACAAATATACGACCTAATGCATTACATTTAGTGGTGCTTATTATAAAAAGGGCTTTTACAATAGTCTTTTTATTACAATATGTTCTAACTTGAAATCTACTATCTCCTCACTTGAGAATGTGGGGATGCAGTTCTTTTCTAACACAACAAAATATTAACTATCTCCCTTTTACAAATACATACCAAAAAAGACAGATAAAACAGATTTAAATGTGCCCTAGGCCTAACCACATGATGTTGAATTGGGAAAAGATTTTGCAAATCATTGAATCCTACATAGTGATTTTTTTGCAGATAATAAAAGGGGCTTTAGCTGTGTTTGAACCTTCTTTATTTCAAAAATGAAAGTGACATAAAGAGAGTAATCATCAAGGCATGGGCACTTGGTGATTATCTCACATTTTAGATTATATTAATGATATGAAATTAGAAACTGAGTAAGAGCCCATAAAATAGGGGGCCCTAAAGCACACACAGCAGGAAATCAAAGACAATGGAGTGGAATTTTTAAATTTTTAATTTTTATGGGTACATAGTAGGTGTATGTATTTATATGGAGTACATGAGATACTCTGTTACAGACACACAATGTGTAATGATCATATCAAAGTACATGGGGTATCTATCACCTGAAGCGTTTATCACTTACTTGAATTACAAACACTCCTATTATATTCTTTTAATTATTTTAAAATGTACAATAAATTACTGTTGACTGTAGTGACGCTGCTGTACTATTAAATACTAGATCTTATTCATTGTAACTATATTTTAATACCCATTAATCATCCCCACTTCTCCCTAGTAAGATGGGTTTTTTTAATCAAAAGAGATGTTGCTTAGAAGTCCCTCCACAAAACCTGGCCCCATTAGTCGAATTTTTTAATGGTTACAGAAGCCCGTTTCCAACTATCAGCTGAGATAATTAGCACATGTGGGGAATATTTCAATTGAGGCAAAGTGATTTTTTTTTCCTTCTCTCCCATCTCAATATAAAGTTGAAAGATTGACAAAGTTTAAGTCCAAGAATTTAAAATACAAAAGTTTAATTTACAAAACAATACGTCCCAAATCTCTGTGTATTCATTTTGGAATCTGTGAGAGTGCTTTATCAGATCAGATGACTTGTAGAATACATGGACAGGGTTACAAAACCTGGCAGTACCAATAAAAGCCCACTCTTCTCAGGTTCAAAACCTCTGTCATTTTAAGAAAAAAAGAAAGTCTTACTTAAAACTGAAGCCACCTGGTCAGGAATCATTATTCTGTAGAGACACTTTCTTAAAAATTAAACAATCTACCCGTGAGGTGATTTTTTTTTTTCCAGAAAACTCCATTACATGTAAACATGGATAAAAGCTCCAATTTTTTGGTACCCAAAGTTTACATTTGTTCAGAAGTAAAATCATTTTAAGAGTTTTCAACCACTGGGTCTTGACTTTTTTTAGAGCCTATAGAAAAACTGTTATTCGGGTTTTCAAAACATTGCCCATTTTAACTGATAGCTATCACTTAAGCCATAATACTCAAAACGAAAATCATTTTCATCGATTTTCAACGCAATTAAACACTGAACTCTGCAGGCATTCCTGTGGGCAGGATCGAGAATGTTCACATCACTTTCACTAACCCAGCTATAACTGAGATGAACAAAGGCACTAGGCCCAGTGATTTTAACGAAGAAAGCATACAAAGTGGACAAGAGTCTCAGTCTTACGAATAGGCTAGTTAATTTATGGTATTTGGTTTCTCAGCATCATTTTCTACAACTCCATCTTCCCTGTACAAAGTTTAGGCACAAATGACAGGTCTATATTGAGACCACATGACAAACTTTGTCAGTTACATTTCCTTAATATTTTCTGTGTACAAAGATTCCATGCTGACGCTACATTCTCAGACAGTTCTCTGGAATGTTAAACTATTGCCATAGGTGTATTCTAAATAATCACTCTAAAAAGTGTCCTTGATAATTTTAAAAGAGTTCATGTACTGATAGTTGATCATTAAAAGCATTTCTTCTGGACATTTTGCACAACAGACATATGATGGGAGGAAACCACTGTATTGCTAGAAAAAACCCTGGACTGAGATCTCAGAGGCTTGGGGAAGTCTGAGGTCAGTGGGTAATTTGCTTTGTAATCCTAGACAAGTCACATTCCCTTTTTGAACTGCATATTACTGGTTTGTGAAATGATGGAGTTAAACTATCATTGAAAGTAATGTTGTCAAATTTTCATTTACATAAGATCACCCGGGAAGGTTATTCAGTATGTAGGTTTCTGGCCCCATCTTCACAGGCTAATTCAGTCAGACCGAACAATGACCCTAAAATCTAGATCATAATAACAGGATGCCTGAGATAGGTGCTCTCCAACCACATTTTGAAAAATATTGTACTAAAATATTTTCTTGATTAAAAGTTCTATAATTCCATGAGGGACAGTCAAAAAGTAATGATACTTAAAGTAGATAGGAGAGAAAACTATTTTAATTTACTGTACTTTGTCGTAAGTAGGTTGGAGAAGCAATCTTGTACAACATGCATTTATGTGCAAGACCAAATCCTAATGACAATAGACAATACATTTACTCAACAATCTCCTGCTGAATTAAATAAATGGCTATAACCTTTTTGCCACTGCAGAAGGCTAAAGATAAGTAAATTGAGCTATAGAGTGTCACCACTGGCAGGTATCATAGCCTAGGATTAAAGGTGATATCCTTATGTGAGTATGGTACTGCCCTCCGCTCACCCCATCCACGTGATTAAGGGGGTTAATTTTATTTATCAGGGAGGATGTTGGCTCCATCTTTTCATGGGATTTTCTGTGACCAGGGACCACTGAGGCTCTTGGGCAGTGTTAGTGGCACTACCTATGACTGCAGGACAAAATGGAGCTGTTTGTCTTAACCTGGGATCTTGGCCTCAACAACTCTACACATTTGGGTGGTAATAGTGACTCGGAATATGCAAATGACAATCATTCTGAAAAGTATCCCATTTATCTACAAAAAACACCATGGTAATGCTTTACTGCTCATACTCGCTAAGGGAAGAAGATTCATAGCATGTTTTACAGCATGGCCTTGAGATAGATAAAAAATCATCTTCCTACCTTTAAGCCTTTGTTACCCTTCTCTTCACTGAGACGTCATTTTTTCATCTGTGTAATTCCTTCTCCTCATAGATGGTCCATCTCCCGAACACCCAAGGTAGACTAATCTATCCTCCTTTAAACGTTCATAGCCCTGAGATTTCACTTCCAGGAAGGAAGCATTTTAAACCTCTGTGGGCGTTACTCTGTTTTTCTGTGAAGAATCTTTAAGATCCAGCTTCGGATAACTATTTGTTGTTTTAAGTTGTGTTTTTAAGCATGCTGCTGTAGTTATAACTTTGTATTAATATTATTTATATTTCATTTTCTTCACTAGATTCTGAGCTCACTAAGGCAGGATTTTTTGTATTCTTTGTCATATCTGCAACATCTTATGTAAAATCTGAACCATAATTGGTACTTAACAAATGTGTTTTGAAGGAAACGAATGAGTGAATGCATGATGGATTAAGTGAGTCCAAGTGTCAGAAGCAAAAGTGTTTCCAGAATTTTTCTTTGTTTGAAAGTTAAAATATTGAACTTGATATTTTGCCATTCAGTCACATGGGATGAAAATACTGTCCAGATATGAAGCTGTCATGAGTCAGCATATCATCAGCAAAAACAGACTGAGGAATGACTTTCTCCTCAGGATTCAATCCTGAGGACAAGTTGTGATTTCAAACACAAATATGGAAATATTCTCCAAAGTTAACTGAGCAAGCCTAAGGTAAAGCAATTTAACTTTTCTTTGACTGCTCTTCAGACCCACTCCAGAGTGACAGTTCTGCTGCACTGAGATATTGTGGTGCATATTGTGAAGCCTGCAGTGAAAATTCCTACAATTGTCCTGCTTCTGGAGGGGGTAGAAGTAAATTCACCTGAGACCATTTAACTGGCACGCAGGTAAACATTTAGCAGCATGATGCTGGCAAAGCCCTTCAAGTATACTACTCATTTTCCCCAAAACTGGAAAAAACTATTTTGATGTCCTGGGGTACTTTTGTGGTTGTGAAAGAATGAAGCATTCAAGTGTTTTATATATATAAAGTCTTTGTATATATAAATTTATATATATTTATATATATATAAAACTTTATATACATAAATATTTATGTAAAAATATAGCTACTACTTAAGCCATAATACTCAAAATGAAAAGTCGTTTTCAATGATATTCAAAGCAATTAAACACTGAACTCTGCAGTCATTCCTGTGGGCAGGGTCGAGAATGTTTGCA